TTCATTCTTCCTAGAGCCTCTTCCCCCAACCAGGCAACTCCCTAAGTGTCACAGTTAAGTTACTTTAAAGGCTGGGCTTATAGCTCAGTGGTAGAGTACTTGCTTTAACTTGCAGGGGGCCCTGGGTTTGATCCACCAGCACCACACACACACACACACACACACACACACACACACACACACACACGAGAGAGAGAGAGAAAAAGAGAGGTGCATACATGCAGTCACCACTTTAAATTACTCAAGGCTAAGAAATACAGCAATCAACACAGGGACTCTTTGAGAATCGTGATTCCTATATTGTTATAGGAACCACAATTTTAATGCTCTGATTCTGTGGGGATGTGTTTTTATGAAATACTCTCAACTACTTGTATGAACGTTTCTCCATAACATTCCTGTGTTCACCAGATATAGTAGCATATACCTGTAATCTTAGTACTTAGAAGATGGAGGAAAAGGATTGAGAATTTGAAGCTATATATATCAAGACCCTGATCAAAAAAGAAAACAAAAGTTTACATCTTCTTCATAGAACCTCTCACTTGAAGGTTGTGTGGTAATAGAGATTTCACGGTGACAGAGCTTGGACAGATTGTGTGACCCTGAATAAGTTGCTTATGGGAAGTAGTCTTATTTTGTTTATGTGTAAAATGGGGGATACTAGGGACCATACAAAATTTGAGGGTCAAAAGCAATGACGCATATACAAGCATCACAGTGTTTCACGTAAGCATGTATAAGTATTGGAATTATACACAGTACATCACCTTCTCTGCCACTGTATTGAAACCAATGCTTTCATAACTATTCTGCCCAGAATTCCTTACATTCATTGATGTCATTCACTCCAAGTTACTAACACCTTGGCCTCTCAAATGCTAGGAAGTAATATGGCTTAAGGTTACCTACCTGAGGACCTGTTGCTCTCCATTTCTTATGTTCAAACTATAGGTTTGCCAGCATCAGTATGTTTTCTGCCTATTTGTCTTCGGGAATGTTGATAGCTCTGTTCCCCTGTCTCCCACGTAGGACAACAGAACAGCATTGCACTGGGCATGCTCAGCTGGTCATACAGAAATAGTTGAATTCTTGCTGCAACTTGGAGTGCCAGTGAATGATAAAGATGATGTGAGTACTAGGCAAATTCCATAAACTCTGGGTTATCTTTAGACTCCAGCCTTGTATTTACTGGAGCCTGGATATTAAGCTCATAAACAAAATTTGAACCTTTATTTATACGTAGAAAGTTACAGTATTGCCTTAGTGAATAGGCAGGAGGCTAGCTAATGATTGCATTATTTTAGAACAGTAATGAAACTCTGTAATTCAGTGCGGAAATACAGATCAGGGTTTATTATTATGAACTCAAAAAGACTGAACTTTTTCATGTTGAAATTGTTGCTGAATATTGCCTGAATAATAAAAGCCTAGGTATATGAATGTTACATAGAAACATCTATTATAATGCTATTATATTAAGATAAGACTTGTGGGAGCTGGGGAGATGTCTCAGTAGTTAAGAGTGCTTACTGAGAACCAAACTTCAGTTCCCATGTTGGGTAGCTCACAACCTCCTGCATGCATATACACATAAGTAAAAAGATAAGGCTTGGAAAAAACTGAGAATGGAACCTGTTTTATAGGCACAGGTTAGTTTGCAGAGGTGTTTACTGAAGTAATATTTATAAGAGAAAATAGAGCAATTTGTGGGGGAATGATTGAATAGAGCATGGTATACATACTTTGTAAGTTAAAATGTGAATGGTAGAAAAATTTTTCAATGGTAAGTAAAAATTGTGGGACAAACACCACAGAACTTAGTTTTTATTTTTTAAGAGCTATTGTATGAAAGAAAACCTATTAGAATTAGTCTAATATGCCATATCTGTGTTATAGGATTGTGGCTATTCTTAAATGATTTATTTTATTTTTATTTGTGTGTATATGTGAGTGTATGCCACCTATATGCAGTTGCCTTTAGAAGCCAGTGGAGGGCATCAGATCCCCAGAGGCTGGAATTACAGACAGGTGTGAGCTGTCTGAACCAAAGGAAGGTCCTTTGGAAGAGCAGTAAGTGCTCTTAACCACTGAGCCATCTCTCCAGCTCATTTTTGATTTTGTATAAATTTTTGTTTCTAATGTTTCCACAGTGCTTAATGGAGTGGGAGGAGAATGTTGTTAAATTATCCACACAACTCTATAAGGCTTGGATAAATGTTCATGTTCATACCTTTGTCCCTTTTCTCCTTGGCTTTTGTAAAAACCCACCTTTTATACAGGCAGGCTGGTCTCCTCTTCATATTGCTGCTTCTGCTGGCCGGGATGAGATTGTAAAAGCCCTTCTGGTAAAAGGTGCGCAAGTGAATGCTGTCAACCAAAATGGCTGCACACCTCTCCATTATGCAGCTTCAAAAAATAGGCATGAGGTATGGTTTTGTCCCTGCATTATTTTCCTTGAGTTCTAAGCAAGAGCAGAAACACAGATTTCCGCATTGTTTTCTTGTCCTCCTTTCCAGATTGCTGTCATGTTACTAGAAGGTGGGGCAAACCCAGATGCGAAGGACCATTATGAGGCTACAGCAATGCACCGGGCAGCAGCCAAGGGTAACTTGAAGATGGTTCATATCCTTCTGTTCTACAAAGCATCCACAAACATCCAAGACACTGAGGGTAACACTCCTCTGTAAGTGACAAATAGCAGTCGTTACTATCCTGCTTATAAATGCAATACATGCTTAAAACAAAAAAACAAAAGGACACTAAGGCATAATGACAAAAACTAAAGTTGCCTACCATTTTGCTATCCCCAAAAAATACTGATAGCATTTTTGAGTATTTCCTTACAATTGTCTATATGCAGATATGTGTATTTAGCATATATATAATAGCAAAATTGAGATCGTGTCATAATTTTGTTTTAATCTCATAGCACATTTTGAGCATTTTTCAAAGTCATTAAATACATTGAAAACATTTATGATGGCTATATACAATTCCGTTTATGGATGTGCCATGATTTAATCATTTCTGATACTGTTTACTTAAACAGCTTCGAGCCTTTGACTATTTTAAGTAATGCTGCATTGACAAATTTATTTTAAAAAAAACTGTCCATATTGCTGATTATGACCTTAGTATAGATTCAACAAATACACATACTTCATGACAAATTGCTTCCAGAGGAGTTGTCTCATTATACCCTCCCAACATCATAACAGTACCTGTTACCTCCCCATCACCACTAAAAGAACCCTCATGTTGTACGAAATGTGACATTTCATGGTTAGAATTTACATTGGGTTACTGATTTTGAAATTTATTGATGCCTAAAATTGTAGCTTTTCGTGGCCTTTCTGTTCACTTTTAGGAGAATTCATTCATTTTGACAGACTTTTTATTTTATTTATTTATTATGTATACAACATTCTGCTTCCATGTATATCTGCACACTAGAAAAGGGCACCAGATCTCATAACGGATGGTTGTGAGCCACCATGTGGTTGCTGGGAATTGAACTCAGGACCTCTGGAAGAGCAGTCAGTGCTCTTAACCTCTGAACCATCTCTCCAGCCCCATTTTGACAGACTTTTAAGTGCTCTTGGCACAGTAAAAACAGGAACATTATGCCATATCAGTTGAAAATATTTTCTCAGTTTTTCTGTTTATTTGTTAATGATTTTTCAGTAATCACAAATTATCAACTTCTATGTAGCCAAACCTATTAATGTCTGTCACAACTAGAAAGTTTTCTTTCATAGTAAGATGAATGAAGTATTCACTTCTGTAACTCTTAAATCTACCTGGGATTGATTGATGTGGATAACGTGAAGCAACATTTACCTTGGTGTGTGTGTAGTGTGTAGTGTGTGCATGTGGTGTGTGTGTATGGTGTGTGTGCGTGTGCATGTGTGTGTTTTAGTTTTTCGAGACAGGGTTTCTCTATGTAGCTTTGGAGCCTATCATGGCACTTGCTCTGGAGACCAGGCTGGCCTTGAACTCACAGAGACCCCCCTGCCTCTGCCTCCCGAGTGCTGGGATTAAAGACATGCACCACCAATGCCCAGCTTTGTGTGTGCGTGCATGCGTGTGTGCGTGCGTGCGTGCGTGCATGTGTGTGTGTGTGGTTTTTACCTACCCATTTTTCTCCTTTACTGAATAATGACCTTTTTTGAATCAGAAATTCTGGTCTTTTTTGTAGTTCAGAATAAGGCTAACCCTTTCCCCCTCTGACTTTAAGACAGCATTTGAAAGTATTGTTTTCAATGGCTGAACATGGTGGAACATGCCTTTAATCCCAGCCCTGGGGAGACAGAGAAAGGTAGATCACTGTGAGTTTGAGTCAGCCTGGTCAACATAGCTAGTTTCAGTCCAGCCAGAGCTCCATAGTGAGACCCTGTTCATAAAAACAAACAAACAACAAAAAAAACTGCATGGTCTTAAATACCTATAGTCCCAGCATTTGGGAGGAAGAGGAACAGACAGATCTCTTCAAGTTTAAAGCCAACCTTGTCTACAGAGCAAGTTCCTGTGGTAGCTAGGGTTATATAGAGAGATCCTGTCATTAAGAAAAAGTAATGTTTTGTTTTTTTAATTAAAAATAGATTCTTGTACAATACATCCCAACCACATTTTTCTCCTCCTTCCTCCCCCTACCTCCCTTCTCCTCCATAACCACCCCCCCTCCACCATTTCCTCTTAAAGAGCAGGCTTCCAAAAGATATCAGAAAAACAGCACAACAAGGTGCAACAAGACAAGGCAAAGGCCCTCATAATGAGGCTGGACAAAGGCAGCCCAGTAGGCAGAAAATATTCACAAGACCAGGCAAAGGAGTCAGAGATACACCTGCTCTCACTGTTAGGAGTCCCACAATAACAAGCTAACAGCCATACACACAGTGTATACACACAGTGTATACACACAGTGGACCTGATACAGACCCATGCAGACCCTGCTTTGCTGCTTTAGTCTCTGTGAGCCTGCTTAGTTGTTTCAGTGGGCCATGAACCCCTGGTTTCCTCCATTCCCTGTGACTACTATAGTCTTTCCTCCCCATCTTCCACAGGGTTCTTCCCTGATCTCTGAGGGAGAGACCCAGTGGAGACAGGAAAAGTACTGTGTTCTTAATTTTTCACTTTAAAAATCTTTCTTGTAGGCCTAAACAACTCTCTCTCTCTCTCTCTCTCTCTCTCTCTCTCTCTCTACATGTCTCTCTGTGTGTGTGTGTGTGTGTGTGTGTGTGTGTGTGTATGTGTGTGTGTTTTAATGAATATTCTGGCTTATTTGTTCATGACTCACTAATCACATTGGCTTGGAAATAGTCTAGGGTCCTTGGGAGAAAGGAGAATTTAGAATTGATAGATACTGTTCATCAATACAAATGCTGCCACTTTTCAACTACATTAAGTGTGCATACTAAGGAACTTAACCTTCCTTCCCCTCAACTTCCTCCTCTGTTATATTGTAGTAGTAATTGCTTCTTCACAGGATTACTGTGAGGCTTAAATAAAATGCTGTGTAAAATGCCAAATATTTTGCCTGTCAAACTCTATATAAGTGACTAGCAGAGGTTGGTTTCTTTCTCAACCAGTTAGCTGTTGAGCCCTGTTATCATAACAAGAATTTTAACCTCTGTGACAACTTTTACTGTAAAACAGTGCCAGCTGTGCCTTGATTTATCAGTGTAGATATACCAGTCAAGTGAGATCAGATCTTTTCAACTGTCTTTCCAAAACTCAGGAATTGTGCTAGAAGCAGAAATGAATCGAAGCTTCTCTCAGTCCTAACTCTGAATTATTATTACATTAAAGTGTTTGCAGTAAATTACCATTACTCTCCATTGAATGAGGAAGTTGTGCTTAGGCCAGCATGTAGAGCCAACTGTCTGTTTTAGTGGGACCAGGATTATGATTTATGATCTGGTATTATATAGCTATTCTAGTTAAGTTTAATTAACAGTCTTTCCCATGCCAATTGATTTCCCCTTCCTGATGAAATAACTTTCCAGTATTACCACTGTCCAGTAATTATCAGTTTAGACTGGAAATCCTAACCAGTATAAAGAACTGATAGTGACTGATTGATCTCTGTGATCCCCAATTTCAGACACTTAGCCTGTGATGAGGAGAGAGTGGAAGAAGCAAAGTTACTGGTGACCCAAGGAGCAAGTATCTACATTGAGAATAAAGAAGAAAAGACACCCCTGCAAGTGGCCAAAGGTGGCCTAGGTTTAATACTTAAGAGAATTGTAGAAAGTTAAGCAGCTTGGATTTATTCTTTGTATGTCTCATTGTACTTACTATCCTGGAAACTGTTGTACTACACACAAGGCATCTTGAATAAATGAAAATGTTTTCTCACCTTCATAATCTTACAACATGTTGTATTGGTCCTGCTGAAGTACCTGTCCTAAGCTTACAGCCCATTTTTCAGGCATCAAAAAACTGCTGAGGTTGTCCTACTGATGTCATTTATTGTTCTCCATTAAATCTTGATAAATTTGGAGTAAGTGGTCCTGTGGCTGCCATGAGTCTTGAGCATCCTCCCATCCACCTGCTGTCCTGTTGTGGAACAGAACAAGTCCAGAAGCAGGCAGCCAGTTGTTCTGTCTGATGGTTCTAGGTGGCTTCTGTGCAGGTAACACAAATCCTGACTTGTTTTTCAAACTCATCCAGAGACCTATGCCAAATCTCTCTTTTCAACTATGAGGCTAGTTTATTTTTGTTACAGAGGGACATTCTGTATTTTAGTGGACCAAATTTTAAGTTGAATTGTATATTCCTAAAATGATGAACAAGAACAATAGCCTATGCGCCATGTACCTTTTTGACATTTTTTTAAAGAAAAAGTGTCTATATTGACTCACCTTGTTTTGAAAAGAATTGTCAAGCTTATTAAAGTAATATATAACAAAAATATATTTTGGTTTGTATTTCAAGAACTACAAGCAATAAACTGTTGAAAGAATCTCCCAAATTCTCTTTCAAGTTAGTTACACATTCACTTAAACCTTTAAATCTTGAGCTAAGCTATATTTTTCAGTTGGGGTAGTTCTGAAGTCAATAAAATTAGTGGAACTTGATCTGCAACTACAATCCATAAAAATAGTAATCTTTTGAATTGCCAAGATAATGTAGAGTGAAAGGAAATTAATAATTATAAACTTGAACTCTATTTAGGGAAACATCTTAATTGATTAGTAGTCAGCAAATGTAGTCCAAGTGACACTCTTAATTTTAATTCTGTACTGCAATTGTTGCTTGAAATGTAGTAATTTTCATTAATTTTGAGTCAGAGACTTAAATTACCAGTAAATAAAATGAGTCTTGTACGTATGAGCTGCATTATTGTTAACAAAACTTTTGACATGACCATTGTGAGTGCTAATCTTTATTGGAACCAATCAGGGAAGTATTTCTTATGAAATGAACATTTGTTAAATGTTGGTAGAATTGATGAAATTATTCATTTCTAGTGTGTTTTTTTTTCTACTAGGATCAGAAAGTAACTCTTGTCTCATAGGGTCTGATGAGGGGGTGGTGTTTAGAGGCCTTTCTTTTTACAAATTTTGAGATTTCTTTAATAAACAGTACAGATCAAACGAAGCTTCAGGAAATTGGTAGGCTCTTAATATTACTTAAATCATTTAATTATATAAACCAGGATATTAATTATCTCTGACATTGATCAAATTGCTAGTTGTTCCTATAGGAAAGCAAAGAGCAAATTTTTATGTGTAGATGCATTTGTTTGGAGTCTGGATTTATGTATATTAATGTAGTGCCTTCTGTGGCAGAAGAGGTCACTGGATTCCCTAGGGCTGGAGTTAAATGCAGTGAGGGCTGCCTGACATGGGTGGTGTGAATTTGGGTCCTGTGCAAGCACAGAGCCTGCTCTTAACCACAGAGCCATCACTCCAGCCCTGAAACTGAACGGTATTACATACTTAAGTTTCTGTTATAGAAAGTATAACATTTAACTTATTAACATAACATATGAATTAACATTCCATTTAGGTTCTATATTTGAGGTAAATTTGTGGCTCACAATGATGCCTTAGTTTATCTCTATGGCCCCCAGCATTTTGATTCCATAGTTCCGCAGTTACACCAACTCCAATGAATTTCTTACATGGTTTTGTATGGTTCTTGTCTGTTCTCATATATTTCATCATTTTTATTGAGCCCCCAAATCAGACTGATGGTATGTTTACTGGAGTATGAAAAGTTCTTTACTTTGGGGATGATGGCTCCAGTTTTACAGTTCTATTGACTGTCTAAAATTGAAAGCAGAACTTTTGTTTATAGTTTTCATCACACTCTCAAAGGGAGCTATGATTCTCCCAAAAGCTCCCCTAAATGATCATAATAAAGAACACTGAATCAATTGCCAGAAGATATAGTTCAACAATAGTAGTAAGATTTTTTTACATCCATTCTCACTGTAATCTTTAAGACAGAAATTCATCTCCATTTTGAAGATAAAACACCGAGAGCTGCAGAAACAGCCAGTCACAAAACCCAGTTTCCTTGGAACCCAAACTATTTTTGTGGTGTATGCTCAAACAATGAACCAAGTAGATGGTACTCTGGCCTTTTCATAATCACTGGGATTAGTTGTGACGCCTTACCTTGTAATTTTCTTTAAATTAGCAGTGGCATGCATTCATTTGGTTTCCCTTCTGTGTTCCTGACATGCAACTCCTAACACCACTCTGGGTTCTAAGTGCTAAAAGTGAAAGAGTACCTTAATACATAGCTCCTACAGCCTTTTGAATTTCCTGGGAGTCCAGAGCAACTTGTTTCAGTGATCAGATCTTGATGGGTTCAGGAGCCTCAGGGTAAGTAGAGACTGTTCACCAGAATGGACTCTGATCAAAGTCTTGGAACGCTGGGTTCTGCCCTTCTAATACTTCATCCTCTGGTACTGGGCTGGAGGCTCAATTAAGCTAACACATGAGTCCTCTACATGAGGCCTTCCAAGTTGCTGAATTCATCCACATGCCAGGAGAGTAATGCACCCTGACTCCATAGGAACAGAAGTTCCTATGCACAAGACGCTTTTGTACCTCACTCTAGGTTCCTATACTGGAAGTTGCTTTATAGACCAGGCTGGCCTTGAACTCACACAGATCTGCCTGCCTCTGCCTCCTGAGTGCTGGGATTAAAGGCATGTGTAAAGACAAATGGGGTTATTAACCGGTTTTTTTTTTCTTTTGATACTTTTATGGTACCTTGTAACTTACATAGATATATATGTATATCTATATATACTTGTTTTTGTTTTTCAGACAGGGTATCACTATGTAGCCTTGGCTGGCCTGGAACTTATTATGGAACCCAGGCTGACCTTGAACTTCTGGCAATTGTCCTACCTCTACCTCCTGAGTGCTGGAATCAAAGACATGCACCACCACACCTGGTCTGAAAACTAACTTTCATTATGAAAACTCGTGTTTGTTTCATTGTAATTAGGTTGGTGCCATTAAAAGAGCATTATTACACTTGGAATCAGCATTAAGGTCTTTTTGTCATTTCAGACCATTTTACCCTTTCCTCTGGGGTAGGCACTTATATCTCATGGGAAGGAATTTTAGCAACAGCATAGTATTAAAATGAATCCTAATGATTTATCATTATACCCATAGAATAGTACAACATCAACCCTTACCAGAGAAGCTTTTTTGCAGTAGATGGCAGTTACATGGAAATCCATGACTGGCCAATGTGCAGATAATAAGAGACTGTAGAATATTCGTCCTTATATGTGATATCTATATTACACCTCCTCTTCCCAAGGCTCAGGAATTGTAGAAGAAAAAGGCAGCAAGAAAGAGCCAGAGGCAGTGGGTGAGTACAAAGAAATGGTGTTTTCCAGACACAGCCAACCAATTCCACATAGAAACTCACAGGGTTGTGACAGCATGCACTAGACCTGTGCAAGCTCATGCTAGACAAAATTCTAGTATTGAGAGGAGAGGAACAGCCAGGTTGTGATGACTCAAAAAGCCAGGCAGTGTTGGTGGCACACACCTTTAATCCCAGCAAAGGCAGATGGATCTCTGTGAGTTCGAGGCCAGCCTGGAGTACAGAGTCCCAGGACAGGCTCTAAAGCTACACAGAGAAACCCTGTCTGGAAATGACCCACCCCCCCAAAAAAGAGGGGAGGAACATAATGTCTCACCCTCAGCTAAGGAGCTAGTAACTACTTGCTGCCAGGAGAGTTGATTTTCTTTAAGTGTATGATCCTAGTAGGTTGACCATGCTCCAGTGGAAAGCCATACACCCAAGAGTATATGGGCAGCACAAATTATACTGAGTATTTTTTTAAGGTCTCAAAGTTGGGTGGGTCAGGGAGAGGATGGATATGTTATGAGAGGAGTTGGGGGAAGGTAGTGAATATGATCAAAATACATTGTCTGAAATTCTCAAAAGAACTAATAAGAAATGAGAAAAATTATAATACTAATTCAACAGGGTATCATTATATTCCCATTAGAATGTCTAACATCAAGCTGGGCATGGTGGCTACACCTGTAATCCCAGCACACAAGGAGGCAGAGGAAGGTTGGTCATGACCAGGTCAAAGCTAGCCCTTCCAAGTCAACCAGGAGAGAGGCAGCATCTGCTACCTAAAGAAGCTGTTCCATTAACTTCAGCATATACTTGCTGAAAAATTAAGGAACAATAGGATGAAATAATTGTCTGGAAGGCATTTTGTGACAAAAAAGCATGGCAAAGCAGCCATGATTTAGCACTCTGACTTAATGAGCATTTTGCCAAAATAATTTTGTCTAAGATGAAATAGAATATTTTCTGATTAAATGTTGATAAAGTAGAAAAAATCCATGCTGGGTCCTAGCTTGAAAGCTGCTGTAACATATAACCCCCTTTCCTGCACCAGTGAGATTTAATGAACAAAATAGTTATGTCACTATCTTTCAGAGGCTCAGGATTTAACACAAATATACATATAGGGCAGATTATGAAAGAAATTGAGATGGAGATGAAATTGCCCTGTCCAGAGTGGCCTTAGAAGTAAGCTGAGTGGACGACAACCATATTGATTGTGTTTGAAAAAGCTAGAGGAGTTCTCCCTTTTCTAGATATTCCTCTTCTCTGGATTGTTCCAATACCTGAAATCCCAAAATTGTAGACTCTTTGGATTAAGGGTTATTTGTGTTCAAGAGTCTTAATTAACAAGAAAATACTGAGGGTACAATTGCTGCCAAGTCTGATGGCCTGAGTTCGAATTCTAGGCATTGGAGGAAGGAAAGAAGCAGCCAAGCGGTGGTGATGTACAACTTTAATTCCAGCACTTGGAAGGCAGAGGCAGGCAAATCTCTGTGAGTGCGAGACCAGCCTGGTCTACAAGAGCTAGTTCCAGGACAGCCTCCAAAGCCACAGAGAAAATCTGTCTAAGAGAGAGAGAGAGAGAGAGAGAGAGAGAGAGAGAGAGAGAGAATGATAAATAAGCTGGAAATAGTTGTAGTTCACATCTGTAATACCAACACTCAAGAGGCTGAATCAGGAGGACTATCATAGCTTCAAGGTCAGCCTGAGCAACATAGTGGGCCCCTTCCATGACCAACCAAGGTAAAAATCCTAAGGCAGTATGGTGGAATACACCTGCAGCTGCAGCTCCTCAGGAGGATGAAAAAGAAAGATCACTTAAGCCCATGAGTTTGAGACCCCACCTAAAAAAAAAAAAAAAAAAAAAAACACGAGAGTGAGTGACAGCAAGGTGAGGGGCAGAAGGAACACACCCTACAGTTCCCTTAGCTATTGACTTCTGAAAACAACTGATACCAGCTTAAAATGGATAATTATGGGCCTTCAAAGACTCACCCTAAGAGGTTTAATTATATGTATAGTATAATTCTGACCTCTTAGTGTCTTACAGGCTTATGAAGGCATCA